ACTGATCATTTGTGCCTGCTGTGGAGCCCTGGATAGCATCAGTGAAAGACTCTGCAACTGTAGAAATACAAGAGTATAACTGCAGTACAGTTTAACTAAGTTTGCTCTAGAAACATAGGGAAATTAAATCTGTTCCAGTGCTTTCTCCTTAGTTTATCATCATGCCACACATAGGTACTTTGGGCTTTGTGTGGCAATCTTAGCTGTCCAGTGGCAAGAATAGCTTTCTGCATGTCATCTTTACAAGGACACAAGCCCTGATTCTGTATCTTTGTTTATATCCTTGTTGCATAATGTTTATAAAATAAAAGAAGGCAAACTTCAGCAGTGCAGAAATGGAATTCTATGGTCCTGAGTCCTCTTTTACAGAAGCTAAACACAGAATCTGTAGGAGGTTAAGTAAGTATCCTCACACAGGAATGGGTGCAGGTGTAGTTCCTGTATCAGTATAAAAGATCCTTCTTTTAGACCAGCAACACCAGTTCAAACCATGGCTTGCACTGGTGCTGTGCACACCCTGCACACACACTAGCGATTTGCACTAGGTTGGCTCTGTGTGATCTCATCACTCCATGTGTTCCTCATGTGGAAGAAGAATGTACTCAGCTTCTTTTATGAGACCCTTACAAGCTACTCCACATTCAAATGCAAATACTTAATAACCAAAGCTTAAGGATCATATGATTCTTTAGACAGTAAATCTGGTGGTTCAGAGTTGAACACATACTTGGCAGATTATAGGTTTATCACTAGCAGCTAATCTTCTAAGGAACTGTGGCTTAATTCCTTTTGTTAACTAATTAAAAAAAGAAAAAGAAGTTAAAGCTGTAATTAGACCCATTAAACCATGAATTACTCAATGGGCTATACAGCTAGGATAAATGTGTAATTAGGAGGTTTGTCCAAACATGATTAAAGCTAGTCATGTGTCCTAGGCCATCAAACATCTATGTGTGCATGAGACTGAGAGTAAAGTCAGTATGAAAATGTGAATATAAACCATGTTATACTTTCCAGGGACAATACATGCACTATTTTTTGGGATAGCAGAAACATTTAAACCAGGAGAGGTTTTTTTCAGACGAAAATTCTATCAGGATTGTGTCCCAGCTTCTAGTGGGTAATGGCATTGGCAACAGCAGTGAGACCAGGTTCATCTGACCCTATGGTCTATCCCTGTTGTCACCTATGCTTTGCTGATCCTTAAAGGATTTTAGAAGTTAATACATAGTGTATTTCTATTAGCAATCGACACATTAACTGAGGCATAAGGTTTTGTATCCCTTCCCAAACTCCTAGCTATTGTGGGGGATGGAATTTCTTTCTCATTGGGTTGTTATTCTTCAAATCACGAAGTAGTAAATTCTTCAGCTTTAGAGCTAGAGCATATTTTTCCTTCCATATGGTTAGGAGATGGGAAGAAGAGGACAGGTCCATTGCACTTTGCTGCTTCACATACATGGGAGTGCTTTCTCTGTGCAATAGTTTCTCATAATGGCATCTCTTGAAGGGAAATTCCCAGGAATTGTTTATTTGTTGGAAAGAACCGTAGCTGCAAGCACTGGCCCAGAGAAAAGGACACAGAATATTGGGGTTGCTGGGCTTAACCTGTGGGAAAGGAATAAGCTCAGGTGCTGAAAGCTGACTTGGATATTTGCAATTATCCTGCCAGAGTGAGATCTATTTGCACAGATGAACAAACTACAGAAGAGTTCAAAGTACAGTAGAAAGGAGTAAGCTGCTTTAATATATACCAATTTCAGTTTGGGGAACAGTGAAATTCAGTTACATCTTAGCTGCCTGTACTGCCTTTAAGCACAGATAATGTAGAGAAGAATTTGGCTGGTGTCAGCCCTTTTTGTGTCGCTGAACTGCTGAGAATTTCGGGTTGGGCAGAGAGGAAATAGCATTTGGGAGAAAACCTACTGCAGACGAAATGGTAGAAGTGTCCTGCTACAGCTGTACAGGAGAACGATGCTTCCTCCGTGTGGGTAATTTCTGACTTTCATAGAATCCCAAACTGGTTTGAGTTGGAAAGGACCTTAAAGCTCATCCATTTCCAACCCCCTGCCATGGGCAGGAACACCTTCCACTAGAGCAGGTTGCTCTAAGCCCCTTTGTCCAACCTGGCCTTGAACACTGCCAGGGTTGGGGCAGCCTCAGGTTCTCTGGGCACCCTCTGCCATCACCTCAGCACCCTCACAGGGAAGAAGATGTATCTAAGAGCCCATCAGCTCATCACAGTCTCCCCTTTGGCATCTTGAAGCCATGCCCCCTTGTCCTGTCACTATATGCCTTTTTAGAAAGTCCCTCTGGATTTCTTGTAGGCTCTGTTGTTGTCTATATTGCACACGTAATGATTTGGGGACCAGTTTCTATGTAAGTGGTTTAAGGCATATCTCTCCTCCAAATAAGTAGTAGCAAAAGAATTTTGGAGTTGTTTTGGTGTTTGTGAATTTTTTTTTTATTCCCATTTGAAAGTTGAAAAGATTGGGCCTCTCTTGGAAAGGAGCACTTTCTGTCTTGAGAAGTTACCCATCTGTCCCTATGATGACAAGAAGTTTTGACTGACTGATCTGAGATGAAAGATTTTGGCTCCTACCTTACTGTAACAAAGGACTGCATGATTTTATTGTGTAGGTTTCAAAAGGATGCAGGCTAGCCAGAGATCCAGAAGAGATCTTTCAGCAGAAGAAGTATTAGCTCTCTGATCGTAGATAGAGAACTCAAAACCTAAGCACAACATAGAAGCAACTATAAGTAATTCCTTAATATTCTTTTGGATTTTAGTATGTTTTGCCTAGTTGTTACTCTTAAAAACTGCATTGTCCATAGTCTTTAATATATTATTTCACAAGGGCAATACCATTCATGTTTTTATGTAGATTATGCTTTTGTAAGACTGCTTTTATTGCCAACAGAACCCAGAATCTTATGACTTAAATATGGATACTGCTGCTTTAGAGAGCATAGTTTAAATCTTAAACAGTTATTTGGAGTGTATAAGGATGGGACAAACCAGGGAGGAGAATTCAGGGAGGAGCTGGGGAAGAAGAATGAACATGTTACTTGTTGCAGATGATTTCATTGTACTGGGACTCCGATTCTGTGGTACTGATGAAACCAAGTCACTCTTCACCATAGGAAAACTTCGGTTTTCCCACTTTACACAAGGATTGTAAGAGGAACCTTATAACAGCATTATTTGGAGGAAATTTCTGTCCAGTGCATTCACTGGGGCTGGTGTTGATGCTGGCTGGTGAGCACAACCTTGTGTCATTTTTATGTAGGTATTTCAAATTTGTGGAAGATCCAGTGCACTTGCAAACTTGTCATTCTACAGGTGTAACTAGCACTGTCTGCATACTCATTCCAGCTCTGGCAGATGACTATTTTGCCTGTCACCCTCTCTGTGGTGGTGACAGGATCCAAATCTGAATCTCTTAAGAAACCAAAATCAGCCTCCAGTTCCCCTGTTTTCCAGTTCTGCATGACTTCAGTCGTTCAGCACGTTAGAAATACTGTTCCTCGTTCCAAATGCATTGGTTACCTGTGCAGCAAACATTGTCAGCATATTTCTGCAGTGGAGTGGTTTAGCATTGGGTAATTGGCATAAATTAAATGGTTTGAGTCACAGTATTGGCCTTTCTGCATACACCCACACGTCTCTGTACGTATGTGCAGCTTATGGGAGATAGACGAATGATAGCAGCACTGCAAACGCCCTGCCAGCAAACCAGGAACCTGTACACATTCAGGAAATAGGTATCGGGGCAGAATATGCATCAAAATAAGAGGAAGTGAAGAGTGTGCAAAAGTATTTGTTTTGTGTAGCTACAGGAATCCTCAAGAAATTCCTTTCAACCAAGGGATTACAGTGAGGAAAACAGAGCAAACGCGTCAGGGGTGGATTTTTGTCTGCTGATGGATGTGTTTATGACTGAGGCACGTGGCTTGATGGCTGCATGGCATTTTCCATGTTTGTGGATGGGAGCTCTGTACTCTGGCTTAGCTTTGCTGTAGTGCACAGAGTCAGTCACTCCCTTTAACTCAACTTCTTCCCATCTGAAGAAGGTTGTAGCTTAAGCTAAGAGAGTCCGAGAACTTGATTGTGCTCATGTATCAGGTATTTAGGCATCAAAGTATTGTGCCTTATACCTTCACATAGCAGCACCCAGAAAACTGTGAGTGTAATGAAAAAGGCTGGCTTGAAAATCAGGTCCTTGCAGTTTACAAAGTGTTGGCTGAAAGTGGGAAATGGGAGAAGAAGAAGAAAATTCTGTTAGATGAACAATTCCTTTTTGTCCGTTTTAGGCTGTCCTGTGCTGAATGCAAAGTCCGTCTCTCTATTCTGTTGGACTGCCTTTTATTTAAAGAGGCTTTGGGGAGCTTAATGCCTTTTGTAGCCCATGCCTTTGCCTTATTCTGCTATGAGAGGACACAGGGACATGTTCAAGGAAAGTGGAGTAGCTTCTAATGAAGGAAAAAATGTAGAGTTTGGGGGATTTCAGGTTCACCTCTCACAGCTTTGGAGAGCCCTTAGGATTTCACCAGTATTAACCTGCCCTTTAGTGTGCTGGGAAGGCTGGGACTGTGCTTTTCCTGGATCCCAGAGCAGGATCTGTTGCTCTCACCTGACTCTCTAAACCTTCCTCTGTCAGTGCAGCGTTGCTTGGGCTTAACAAGCAAGCTCCATCCTGAGAACAAACTGAGGGGCTTCTGACTGCATTAAAATGTCTCCTTGAGAGTCACTGATTAAACATGTAGTATTATTACTTTTCTTTCATGCCTATAAATCCTCACATAAAATATAATCCCTTTCTTCCCAGCACGTGACAAATGGAATGAGTCTGAGGTTTAAAAAGAGAAATGCATACAAGGGGATCACTTTGCAGTCACAAGGGTTTAGATTTCCTTGTTTGCACAGAGTTTGCTGTTGTCCATCCTGAATCAGAACAGCCAAGGGGACACCCACTTATGTGTTTTATTTCTTTTCTCAGTATTTCTGGCTTCTCGTGCTGTCCCGAGGCTTGGTTGGCATTGGTGAAGCAAGTTACTCCACTATTGCACCCACCATCATAGGAGACCTGTTCACCAAAAACACACGGACCCTTATGCTGTCTGTTTTCTACTTTGCAATTCCTCTTGGCAGGTAAGTAAGTTGACATAGATCTTGAGTTGCTGAGGATGATAGTTCTGTCTTTGGTTGGAATGGTTTAGACAGGAAAATATTGTGAGAAGTGACTAACTAGTTGCAGGAACTGAATTCTTTTCGTAGCCCTGTTACTGTTTCACGTATGACTTTGGGGAATTAGTGGGAAGGATGTTTTTTTCTTACAGCAGTGAGCTGGAAATGGAATCAAAATATTTTAGCTGACTTTTTTTAGCATTATTAAATTATCATTTTGAATAATGTTATATTGGTTCAGTGAATCATTGCTTCAGTTCATGTGAGGTCTGGACCTTCTTCAGGCAATTTCTTTCAGGTTACTGTCAAATCCAGATCCCTTAAGATACTGAGCTGAGTTTTCAAAAGTGAGCAAATGGGTACCTGCTTCTATGTGCCAGTCTAAATATCAGAGGTTTCAAGAGGAGTGTGCTACACAGCATACACAACTTGACATTTTGACTTGAAAAATTAGTTTAAATCAAGCTCATATTCTTTCCAACCTTGAATTTGGCCAATATGATTAAGTTTGGAAAACGCAGCTAAGCTACTCTTAGATGTCTTGGTAGTTGCAGTAGCAGTGGCCAGTCCAGTTTAGTGCTATTGCCACTGAAACAGCAATTAGGAGAAATAGTGAATCTTACTGTAGGCAACAAGGCTGAAGAAGCTGTAATGATAATTCTTAAGACACTCAGTCTTAAAGCAGAGCAGTGGAAGGAAACCAAGCCCATAGATGCTTGACGAAAGCAAGAGACACTCGGATTTGGAGTATTTGTTTCCTCTGGCACTTTCTTTCAGTTGAGTTCCCTTATCAGCCCAGTGCAATATCTGATTGTTGGGACAGGAGGGAATCCGTTGTTGTTATTATTCTTCTTCATACTATTATTTAAATAATAGCTGAGCCTCTATCATGAAGTTGTAGGCAGGGTGGGTTCCCATAGTTTCCGTACTGATTCCAGAGCTGAACAACAGCCTATGCAGAAATGGCATCATGGGTTCATTTCCAGCAGGGAAAAGTTGGGCAGCAGTTTCACCCCCCACAACTCAGGGGAAAACTTCTGGTTTAGGGTGGTGATTTTTACAAGCTAGAGCACACATCCCTGAGATAAAACTCACAAACAGCCGTTGGCCTTTGAGGACAGAGAGATAGCCAAGTCCTTAACTGGTGAATGGAGTATCTTCTGAAGAGGACCAAGGATGACAGTTGTTTAGAATTCAGTGAATTATCGCTAGCAAGATATGGTAAATATTCATCCTGGAACAGAATTAACTCAATATACAGCAGAGTTGTGGATCCATTGTTTCATTTTGGGGCTGCTCTGTGTAACACGACCAGCTTTGGGGTAATTATAGATGAAAAGCTTCAAAACTGAGCAAACTGTTCAACAAGGGCATGTGATGGCTGAGTTTTGAAGAAAGGACATTTATATTTGTTCAGTTCACTATGAGAGATGCATAGCTACGTTCACCTGGATCTACTCTCTTGTGAGCCACCTTTTGTTGCCACAGTGTGATTCTTAGCATGTGGGTGAAGGTCCTGGTGCTCCTTTATCTTGGATTTCCAAACTTCAGGTCTGATGTTCTCCCGTGAGACTGTCTTCCATTTTCTTCTTGGTTTTTCTTACAAGCTTATGGAAAGTGGTCTTCTCATGAATAATTAGTACCAAGTGCTATTAAATGGCAAGAAATAAATTAAATGATGGAATATGGTGTATCCTTGAAGGGCACTTCTAAACTGAGAGTGGGAACATAAAATTGCCAGCTATTCGTATTAGTGCACAGAAAGGCCTGATGTAGGAATTAAATTAGGAAATAAATTCTTTTTGAGGCTTTGTTTCTATTCACTGCCGATTGAAAGGTCAACTAAAACTTGAGATCAGAGACCAAATTTCCATCAGATTTGAGCATTTTTAGATCAACAGTGCTGGGAAAAGTTACACAGCGACCATCTGCTTCATCCCCTTGTGTTTCTTCTGCAGGAGAAGAGAGCCGAGGACACACAACTGAGTGTGCCTCTTTATCTTGGTTTAAGAACAGCTGTGATCGTGGTGCCTTGTTGAAGCTCTGACTGACTCTCATCTTTGTGTTTCTTGCAGTGGCTTGGGATACATCACTGGGTCAAGTGTGAAGCAGGTTGCTGGCGACTGGCACTGGGCATTGCGGGTAAGCCACTCTTAAAACATCTTAATAACAGTTGCATGGGTAGACCAGTGATAGGAAGAATTCTGTCACACAATTCCTGACATTAAATATAGAGGGTAAAGGATTGGAAATTACATCTATGAATATTAAGTGCAGAGCAGATGCATTCTCTAAGCAAATGGGAAAGGTATGTGGGTTTGGCCCATTGTAGTTGTGTTTTGCCCTGCCTGGGAGAAGAATTTTCTGATGACTTTCTTATCAGTCAACCATGATTTCTTGATGGGGTTGGGAAGAAGCAGCATTGGCCTTAAATCAACTCCACAGTCTTTTAGTCCCTTGCTGTCAAGAAACTCTGAGAATGGCTTCCTGCTTTGAGGAAAAAACACTTTGTTCCAGTTTCCGCTTGTTTTTCTGCCCTGAGACAGTCCGTTTCCTTCTATTTTAACCTCTTGGGACCTTGATAAATGTGTTGAAAAGATAATACACTCCAATCGCATACACACAAACAGATCCTGCAGACAAAGATGTCTTGAAAGAGCTGAGAGGAAGTGGCCCAGCAGAACTGTTTTCTGACCTCTGGCATTGCTGGTGGCATGAGCCCTGTGAGGTGCATTCCCTGGCTCTGGCACTTGGGAAGACAATGCATCTCATGAAATTCAAGCCAGCACCATTTATAATGGCAGGTGATGAAATACATGGGTTCTCATCTCAAGCGAATGTGCTTTTCTGTGATACAGGCCATTCCCTCACTGTCCACCAAGCATAAGCAGAGCCAGGAAAATCACCATGAACAGTTCATCTGCCCCTAAGAGAGCAGAGGTCCGCAGATTCCAGATGTGAATCTGAAATGATAAGTTTAATATCCTTCAGCTTCACACCAAGAGGATGGCCACCTCATTCGGTTACAGAAATACTTCAAGGGTAAAATTGACTTCTAGCAGAGGCAAGCACAAGGAGTAAGAAACCCCAAAGCCCTTCCTCCTGTCAGTGGGCTGCAATGAGGTTGATATACTGGAGCAAGTGTTCTTGTGTTTCTAGCTGTAAAACCCAAATGATTAATTTGTGCAAAGAAATCCTTACTAGCATCTTTTTCTTCAGATGAAGTCTCCATAGTTATCCTGAGAAATCCAGGCTATCTGCAAGACCCCTTATGGAGTTATGGTTTCCACTATAAATGACACATTGATGCATTGCCCTGACTGTGTGAAATCATAGGAATCTGACAGCCTGCACACTTCTGTGATGGTTGCTTTGGACAGCATTGCTTAGTTCTTGTACTCAAGCAGCACACGTTGGAACTTTCAGATATCACTGTAAAGCAGCCTCTGTCCCGGTGGCAGTTACTATGCTCTTGCAAGCTGTGATAGCAATGCCTCCCTCTGGGATCTGCTGTGGTCTCCAAATCCAGGAGAAGTCACGAATAATCTGTACCTTAGTGGGCTGAAGAAGACCAAAGGGCACATTGGGAAGTGGCAGCTTTGTCTCTGGATCTAGCAGTAATGTTAACATTTCATTGGAGCACTGATACTGTCCTATTCGGGGATTAAGCCTTTAGACAAAAATCAAAGAGACTTTATAGTACATGGCCCGGCATTTACATGTGTCTTTACTAGTGTTGTATCTTATGTTCAAGCATAATAAGGATACAGTATCAGGCTTCATTTATTCCTGGGTGAGGGATTTTCCTCACTTTCTTTTTGTCTTCCCTTCCCTAGAAGAATTCTGGGTTTGTCATCTTTGGCCATGAAATGCTGCTCTGTGTGTAAAGACCATTCTCAAGTTATTATTAGATGCATATTTATTTTGGAATAGGAATTTATTTGTAAAATAGCATGTATAGAAGAGATGATAGTGTAGTGAAAATCCATGTTCCTATTTTCCTAATAGAGCTGTTTTCCATTCTGGCAGTGATGGAATTTCAGCGTCAAAACAAGAATCATGGCTGTAGCTTGCAAAGCACAATGGGGTCTTTGTACTTTTGTCTGGTATTTGGGAGAAAGGATTGGAAACTGGGAAACCTAACCCTTGAATGTGTAGTTTTCCTATCTCCTAGCCTGAATTTCCAGTGTTTCTTGGTCTGCTGTACACTAAGGTGATCTGATAAAGCTGCCTGAAAATGGGAAGCCATTGTGGGTTAGCTAGAAGAGGGATGCATGTCAAGCAAGGATTTTCAAAGCCAGCATGCTGTCTGCCTCTAGAAATCTTTCGCCTGGTTTCATTGCCTTTAAACGGCTCCTGCACTTTCCCAGGATCTAGTTGGTCTCTTAGCCCAGCTTTGAGTAGGTTTCCAAAGAGGCAAACATCGCTGAAGAGCTGTATTTAGCTGAATCTTTGTGCTTCAGTGACACAGAGAAATGGACGGCCTTAATCAGTGTTCTCAAAGCTGCATGCTTCCAGAGTGAGATAAGAGAGTCCAGGGAATGACAGGGAGGAAGGAAAGGAGCAGATGCCGCAGGTGCTTATAGATTCAGGCTAGCTGTAGGGAATCCAGTCACTGAAACACAACTAATGTAATCTGCTTCTTACTGACTTTGTCAAAGCAGACCCTGCTGACTCCTGTGCTAATTCCCTGATCCTTTCTTGCAGGTATCTCCACTCCTGGGAATGATAACAGGGACACTCATCTTGATATTTGTACCTGCTGCTAAAAGAGGAAATGTTGAACAACTTGGAGGACAGCTGAAGGCTCGGACCTCATGGCTGAGAGACATGAAAGCTCTGATTAGAAAGTAAGAGCATTCCAATAAAAAGCATGCTTTCCCTCTAGTGCTTAACTGGAGCATCCCATGGCCTGTACTACTTAGCACTGTGAGACAGGAAGGTGGCAATACGGGGGGGGGGGGTTCCAAGGAGCTTAATCTGTGGACCTAGGAAAGAAAATCAGTTACATTTTCACGAGGTATCAACTGCAATGACAGTGATGGAGTCTAAGTTTTGCTCTAGCCTTTCCAAGATTGAGATCTAAGAGAGAGTCTGCTTTGTTTGGCTCATACTTCAGACAAATCAAAGCTTTTGTACTGTAGAAATTGCTGTGTTCCTCAATTGTTGCCTCACTGTTGTTCAGATGCTTAGATCCCTTTTTTTTCCTTGAAAGAGAGACTTTGCTGAGGGGAAAAAGAGGGTTAAATGCCAGAGCCATTTAAGAGGAGAAAATACAAAAAAGCTTGCACTACATGGCAAGTTTAAAAATGTATGTTTATACAACCACACGTGACTGAATGAACGAGCACTGAATGTGCTTGAATGCTTGTATACGTGCATAAAATATTGCATGCTCACAAGTGTTTAAGTAGCTTACTTGCATCCAGATAGCTTGTCACCGAGTGTGCTAATACTTGCCCATGTGAATTCAGTGTTACATAGGAATTCTGATGGGAAACTTGTGGTGTCCTTCATTTTTAGAATGCTTTCCTGGTATTGTCATCCAATACCAAAGGACTGTGAAAAGTGATGATGGTTAATTTAACACTATTTTTATATTACTTATTTTGGTAGTTTATTCAAGTAATAATCGTATGGTGGTGTGAATGGTGAGGGAGAAGTGAAACTGGTCACCCAGGTATAACAGCTGCTATTACAGTGAAAACCCTGCAACTAACACATCATGTCTTAGTCGCCAAGTACTGATTGTCTTCTGAAATGGTCCCATGAAACAGTGGTATCTGTGAAGCATGTCTTAAGTACATTGTTACTAATAGAGCATCACATATGAAAAAGTATTCTATGCTTCTTATTCTCCATCAGTTTGTACCATGTATCATCTCTGCCCCTTGGCAAAGGGAGGTGGCCACTATGGGGGAGCACTGTGTTTTGTCACTGAAGCATTGGCTCTTGTTGTGGAGCTCCTGCTTTTTCACTTCTCCCACTAAACCTTCTCTTGGTTTTGCCTCTTGTGCCTCCACAGCCGCAGCTACGTGTTCTCCTCATTGGCCACCTCAGCTGTGTCCTTTGCCACAGGGGCACTTGGCATGTGGATCCCTCTCTACCTTCACAGAGCGCAGGTGGTGCAGAAGACAGCAGAGACCTGCAGCTCACAGCCCTGTGGCACCAAAGATAGGTGAGATTCATACTCCACTGCTTTAAAGAGGGGAAAAGGGGGTGGGGGCTTATTTACCACAGGAAACAGGCAAGTCCCATGGAGTCAGGTTACTAGAATGTCTGTAATTTCCTCTGGGTCTTTGAAACAATGATAGGAAATGCTGGGATTGTAAACGAGGTTTTATTTCTCTTCTTCATTGCATGAAGTCAAACCAGAAGCAATGACCTCAGCTCTGTCTTAGTTCCCAGGCTGTGGTGCAGTAGTTGAAAAGAGACTTTTGTCTTTGCCTTAGGGGATGTTTGGAGAGCTGAGAATTTGGTTTCTTAAGACCCATACTTATCTGTGATAGCAGCAGAGTAAGCTGGCAGGTTGGGTAGCCACAGCGGTGGCTACAATTCAGAGGTTGGACTGGTTCCTCTAAAGGCTGCAGGGACTAACCCTGAGGACTTTTGTTTCTGTGTGAGGGAGGACTTGACTCTGTTTCACTGCTCTGTATTCTACTGCGTGTGCTGAGTTTGCTGAAGAATGGGGCAGAGATCCAGGACACTTTGCTCTGGAGTGCTTGATGTTATGCAGGGGTTTGGTTCTTCTGTCCCAGTTATATAAAATCACTTGCAGCACAAAGCTATGAAAAGTAATTCATTGTTTAGTGCTTTACTGTAAGGGCACAAACCATAAAATGCTAGAAAAGCACTTCTCCAGGTGAATGCAGATTGAAATATTGTCAGCTTTTTTTTTCTAGCTTGTGAAAGAAAAATCACATGAGGCAAACCTTGCTCTAGCTGACACAGTCCCATCTCAAGTAAAGCAGTGGTTTGAAGTACCATTAACTTGCAGTGTCCAGCGGGCAGCCTCAGTCTGTTCTGCAAACCTGCAGTGAGCAGAAAATACAGCTCCAGTCTGGCTGCCCATCTGCTGTTTACAAGGAGAAGTTTTCCACTCCTTGATGACACCTATGTTTTGAGCTGCCCTGGAGCCACTGTTAATGGAGTTGCCAAAGGCTCTGTAATCCAAGTCCTGCACATACAATACAGAGAATCCTTGACAGCTCCTGGCTTTTTACATTTAAATTCACAGTTTTCAAATGTGTAACCTAACAGCAAAAGAAGACTTCTTTGAAGTGGTCTGAAAAGGAGCTAGAAAGTCTGAGTATGTTGAAAGTCACTGGTATTTAGAGTCCTGTTAGGTTTCCTTCCCCTTAAGCTTCCTAATGCCTGTTCTGTCCATGATTTCCCCTCACATGATCAATGTGCAATTTACTACTTAGCTTTGTGCACACAAGTAGCTGCACTTTCTATAAAGCTCAGTTCCACACAGAGAAGCAGTATGAGCCCTTTGCACTTCTTTGCATGTTGTCCAATATGCGTGCATGAGGCTGAATTTCATATGCTGTGTTTTCTTAATTGCAGGGAAAGAGTGCTAAAATCACAAGCACTCAGCAGGGGAGCTCATTCGTTTCAGTTTAAATTCACAAAGCCAGTGTACAGATTTCCATTTGTCACTTCACCCTAATAATTTGTTCAAAGATCATGCCTATTTTGGGGGAAAAAAATAATCAAAAACTAACCCCAACTGTCTCTCTTGTTTTTCTGTTTTCAATAGCTTGATCTTTGGAGCAATCACATGCTTCACTGGTTTCCTGGGTGTAATCACAGGGGCAGGGGCAACCAAATGGTGCCGGTTAAAAACCCAGCGAGCTGATCCTCTTGTCTGTGCTGTTGGCATGCTAGGATCAGCCATCTTCATCTGTCTGATCTTCGTGGCTGCCAAGAGCAGCATTGTGGGAGCCTATGTAAGTATAATCCTTTCCATATGCCAGTCTCAGTCTTATTCTCTCTACAGAACTCCTTAGAAGACTCTGTGCTTTGTTCCCTGCAGGTCTTGCTTTTCCCCTTCTGAATGTCCTTCATTTTGCCCCTTGGAATTTTGGCACTATCTAGATGTGCCTGGAAGAAAAATGGTATTTCAACTGCTTAACCCTGCTTACTAAGTGTCATCAGAATCAGAGCTGCGATTTTAGTGCATGCATGGAAACCTACAGTTCCCCGCCTTTGGGTTGTCCTATCTATCCCTCTATCCATCCCTCTATTGCTCTTGCCTAATATTTTGGTACAGGAAAATTGTCTGCTTCACTTACAATGAGAGTATTGTAGATGCTGTGGTATCAAGTTGTAATTACAGTATAATTTATCTGTGGGCATGCTTTTGGCTACCATTAATTTCCGTAACTAGCTTTCTGCAGACCAACATTAATTACAATGCAATTCCAATTTGTTGCTATCTGTATTACCACAGCACCCAAAAGTTCTAGTCCATAGCCCAGGAACTCACAATACTTGGAGCTGCACAAATGCAGATTGAGTGGTTTTAATCAAAGTATGTAAAAAGACCTCAGATAGATCTAGACAAATGGACTGAAGGGAAAGCAAAACCTCAAGTGTAATAATCCAGCCTCAGGCTAGAAGCTTGCTTTCAGTAGAGAGTAGAAACCCAGTACATTGAGCAGGTTCCCCTTAAATGTACTAGAGAGAAGCCTGGGACCTGGGAGGAGTTATTGAAGGAAAGCATGAGATGGTTGGTGTAGTTGGATAATTTCTGAAAGCCCACTTTAGTGGCTACAGAGGGTGGACGCTCCAGCCAGCAAGGAGAATTCATTCACAAGTAACCAGCCTATCTACTGTGGATCCTTGTTTCTCTGGATTTCTAGCACTAGCCTAGCCATGGATATTTTCTGAGTATTTCAATAGCTGTCATGGGGCAGCACAAGAAGAAAGAGTGAGAGTTTAAAAACATTAAGTCAGAACCAGTGATGCCTACTCTGGCTATTTAGAAAGTGTCAGAAGGAGATTCTGTCCTCTGCTTTGTGGCATGGTGCAGAACTTACCTTCGATTCAGCAGAAAAATGATCATCTCAGACAGTCTGCAAGAGGGTCTTACTGGTTGGTGAAGCATTAACCCTCCTTTCATTGCCAGCCATCTCTGAGGGCAGAGACCTGTCACATCCCTTTACCTCTGTCAGCTAAACCTGTGATTTTCTCCTTTCGCAGACCTGATGACAGACATGTTCATTTGTGCTGTTTAGTCCCTTTATGCAGAAAATCCTCCCTTTCTAAGCTGGAAATACTGTTCTCAAAAATTTTGCAACACAAAGTGGTTATTTGTCTCATTTTCATCTTTCTTTTTTTTTAATAGCCATGTGACTATTCTGCATTGTTCAAATATATAAATATAGCTGATATTATTAACCAATCTTAGAAACAATTTGTTATCCATGAGCAGTAAATCTAATAAAGAGTCAGTGATTTGCAAAGGAAGTTATAGCTGCATATAGAGAAGGTATGAGGAATATAAGCCTGTTTGCTGATGCTGTTAGGCTGAAACATTATTTGTTGCAGGTAACACAGCCTCTCTGTAGCTCTAAATGTGCACTCTCTGCTGCTGGAAGTCTGCTGCACAGAAAGGAGATTAAGTCTCATTAGTGTGCCAACTGGGAAATCAGAGCTCTGAACTCTATTTATAGATTCTACACGTGACAGTGGACAAGATATTTAACTTTGGTTTGCCTCTGCAAAACTGAGGATCCTTGAATTACAAAGGGTCAGGGTAGCTTAGATCTTAAATGTTTCTAAATAACCTGGAGTTAGATTATCTGTGACGCAAGCCCTTGTTTTTCCATGCCATTCAATGCTATTCCAAACTTACAGGCTTCCAGAATGTTTAATTCCCTTGTATTTCCCTAGGAAACTTGCAAGGTTGCATGGTGTAGCAGTTTCTCATTATTCTCTATTTTAAGTCTCTTTGGTCCAAAATGAAGGAGACTGTTCTTTGATTCTGGAACATCTAGGTATGGTGAACAGTATCTAATGGGCTAGGTTACTTTGCTTATCTCAAAATCCATGATCATAGCTTGTTCTGGAAAGAATACAGTAAAACTTATGGGGTTTCTCATCTCAGTCTCCTTGACAGCTGTGTCCTGACTTTCATCCTGAAACAGCATCCTTCAGTTCTGTATGACTGTGAAAGGCAAGAGCAATGTTCGGGTCTGTTCCACAGGGTGGGATTTGCAGACCTTCTGTTAAGTGACTGTCCTTAGACTTCTGTCATTGATCACACCATGCTAAAATTGAAGGGTTTTGGACCCCTCATTGGCTCAAAGCCTTAAAATTATCACTTCCAAGCATTTAGATGGGTCCCCATGAGATGGTGTGTTCTCACACTGAGCTGTGGTGGCCACCAGGTCACCATCTCCCTCCCTGCTTAACAGTTGGGGGTTTTTAATGTCAACTGCCTGCTCTCTTCCTCCCCTGAACACAGGTATTTTTTCTCCCCAGCTCAGTCCTGTCTTGCAGGTGGTTTTGGTCCCTGAGGGCAGCTGCTATTCCAGTTCTGCAGCAGCTGCTCCTACCTGGAGCAGGTAGACACACTTCTTTTTTCCATCCAGTCTTTTCATACTCATCCTGTACATTACCTGCAGTGGTAGAAATAGCTGGAAAGGTGGAATAAAACAGCATTGTATATCACTGAGCTGCCCAGACACTTGTATTTCTCTTTTACTATCTTGCTTGTCTGTACAGTGCAGTCAGTTCTTATTCTGTCTTCCATGCAGCACGTGGATTTGTGTGTTGTAGTTCAGCTCCTTACAACAGCAATTTGCATATCTTTGGGTCCCAGTCTTTCTGAAATATATACTCCTTGAAATGTTGGTTTTCAACCCTGTCTCTTGAAACCCATTAGCTGTATGGCATCACTGTATCGCACTACTCAGATATTTCAACAGCAGATTTTACACTAGCTTAAATCTCCAAATGACTGGAGAGAGATGCTTTGCTTTGCCTTCCTTTTGACACTGTTCCAAGTTCCTGTTGTACCTCAATTTCAATTCCTCAAAGACACTTTATGATCTTGCAGAAACAGCAAATCCCAGGGTAAAACCTTGCCATGGAGCTTTTACAGCATCTCAATCTCAACTTGAGGACTTGAGGCATTGATATTGTTCAACAGTGAGGTGGAGTTACACTTGCCTCAAAATCAAGAGCATGTGTGGGTGTCTTACGCACCATTTCAGAGAGAAATACAACTAATGAAGATGTCGACGGAGATGTACTTTGCAAATAGCCGTGGAAGTTTATAACCTGCGTAGATCTTGCTGTAAAGGCTGCTGCTGTGACCCCTCTGAAACCTGCTTTATCATTTGGAGGAATTAGAGTTTGCTAACCGACCATATAGACAGGAAGACTTGAGAGGGTGATAACTTCTGTCAGCTCATCACAAATGAGCAGATGGACACGTAATGGAGATGGTGAGATATTGTACAGCACAGCTGGATTCGAAAGAGGAGGTATCCAGAGAGCTGAAATCTCAGTGTAAAATGAGGCTTCCAAAAGTCAAAGGAGTTCAAAAGGAGTCAAAGCTGTGACCGTTTCAGGAGCTACTGATCTGTTCTGGAGGCTGCCCTATTTGCAGTAAGGATCCCTAGGGTCTTTCTCCAGCAGAAATGCCACATATCCTCAAATGCCCTTTGCAGCAGATGAACTCATTTGTATCAATTCCCATTAGTAGCTGAAGGATGTATCTTTTGTCCTACTTTTTGATCTTCGTTTTGCTCCTCTTTTACCAGTATCCACACATTAATCATGTGTTTCATGGAAGCGTGTCAGGTGAAGCACACGTTCCACAATTCCGAGCTGGTGTGCTCTGAAGCTGGTAGCATTCCAGTGATTTATTTACAGGACTTGTGCTGAATTCCTGCAGAATGGAGCAAGTTCTAGTCACTGTGTGCAGCAATTCATGTGTCTTACGTCTATGTAATTCATATAACCTTAAGGCAAACAGTTGCCTGTTTGCAACGCTGTAGGAACAGGCAGGGCATGTCGCTGCATTCAGAAGTGTGATTGCATCTTTCCCAAGCTCAATTTAATCTATCCAGCGACAGAACCCCAGCAACAGGAGCTGCAAAGCCGTGGCAGGATGGATTTCAGAGCAGGTCCTGAGAGCCCACCTGGGGCTCTGATATGCCCTTGCTATATGACATGTGGTTTCAACTTCTGTCAGCACCTTGATGCATTAGAGCTGTGTTTCTTAGCTTGGCAGTTGCCATTTCCACTGGGAGCCAAATTGAAGGCAGAGCAGTGGGAAAATGGAAAGAGGAGATTTCCTAGCTGACCAGCTGGGTTGTAATGACTGGCTCATACACCATCATGGAGGAAGCAGATCCAGTCACAAAAAGAGGGGATAGGGAGGGAGAATGTATGGGAAACAAAGATAGTTTTAGAAACAAATAGAGGAAGCTTTCTGTAGGTCAATGCATAAGGCTTACTAAATAGAGCAAACTGTTCCTGGCAGTGACATGATGGTCTGAGGGGTTTAGGCAATCTCAGCTGGTTTGTGGGAAAGACAGTTTTGGTGGTCACACAGTGCCATAGCTGCCATTCTTGCAGGTCCTCCTCTATCTCCACAGACTCAAGAGTTACATTTCACTGTAAGACACTGATATTGCAAAACCCCTATAAATATGGGTCCTGTCTTGGTTGTACATAGATATTATTAATGTAATGCTTGAGTCGTTATAGTGCCTATACCTATGTCCCCCTCAAAAAGGACAGCGACATGCTACCAGGAGGGAAGGGAACTTGCACTTAGTAGGTGGTGAACCTCATATGGTTTGCTACAGAGCCAAACACATAACTTGATTTCTTATGACGAAAATGACTGTGTTTTGGGGAGTTGTGGCCTTCTCACCTTTTCTGACTGTTTTATTTGGAACAGAATGATGGAAGTATGGAAGCCTGGGGCTGTCTCCTCTTGCTGGCTTTTCATGTTCTTCTGTAAGCAAATGTGTCAGGTTTTTATGTAGCTGCTCTATAGATCATAACAGTTTGCACTAACGAAGTTGCAGGCCAATCCTCTGGAGCTCTGAGAAAGTCTGTGGTTTTCTAATATTCAGGATAAACCACAACAGTAACAAGAAATATATTGTGTAGGTTTGAGACAAATAAGCAACAAAGGAAAGCTTGTGACAGGTTATTTTTCCTTGAATGTCAAGTGAATAAATCTTCTCCTTTTTGTGTGTGTGTGTGTTTGTTTTTTTTTACAACAGATTTGCATTTTTATTGGAGAAACTCTTCTGTTTTCAAACTGGGCTATCACAGCAGACATACTAATGGTGAGTGTACACTGGAACAACACCTTTCTCTTCTGGGGGCATTTTGTCAGCTTGCAAGAACAACCTGAAGTTCCCCATTTCTTCCAAATGCCTTCTTCAGCCTACCCTATTTTTATTTATTTTTTACTTGCTGCAAAGGAAAGTGACAGTGAAAGAGATAAAGAAAAAAAACTTTCTTCTTATCCTTAGTTCTGCACACCAGGGAGAGATGTCCAGAATGGTCGGCATTACTGAGTTAGAATAGCTTCCCCAGATTCTAAGCATTTGTGCAAATCCCTACATGCAAAGAATGGGCCAGCATTTCCTAATGGTCAGCACATTGGTGGATTTTGTTATCAATAATTCAGCTTTGTTCTGCAATAGGAAATCCTTCTCTCCCTCCCTCCTCTGGCAACAAAGGCAAGCATCTACCTCTCTCTTTGGCTTAACTCCAGCTAACCTACCATTCAACACATACACAATAGAAAACCACCTCTGGGAGAGGAGAGAGGAAAAGAAAGTATAAAGAATTTTTGGACTGTATCCACCTTGTCCAAGAGGAAGCTGTCAGGGACTTTTCACCCCATGGCCTTCATTTTCCATTATTTGTCCACCATAGAGCTTTTTAAGTCTTTCAAATCAGCAAGCTGACCTCAGCAGCTAGATTTTCATATGAAATAGTCTGGAGCCTATCAAACAGCCTCTGTTGAAATCCCATGGTGAAGGAGGTGTTGCTTATTTTATGAAAAAGAAAGAAACCAAGGGACAGAACCATTACAGGACTTGCCCAAGGTCTTTTGACAGCTTGTTTACAGAACTAAAAATATAATCAGTCTGGCATCAACAGAAAACTCCCTTGACTTGTATTAGTTTCTTATGCAAACATCAGTGAGAAACCCCTCCGCCTCAGTATTCCTAGATGCAAAGATAACGGTGTTGATTTATTGATTCACCAGAGAGCTTCAAGCTTCTGCTTATGTTCTGTTGATGGTTCAAGTTCAAGGATGTGTTTATGCTTTAAGGTAGCTCTGTAGTTGCCATAACTGAATTGCCTAATGAATTTTCAATCTCTAGCTCATCTGTGCAGAGAACACTTTGGGAAGTGGGGTTGTTACTTCTTCTTCTCTCAGATGTGAATAAAGCACAGAGAAACAAAGGTCATCCGTGTACTTGAGTTGCATTAGATAGCTTTTAATTACTAGGGTTTGCTCCTCATAACAGTTCAGCTGTAGTTTGATAGAGCTCTGCATGGGATGAATGGGTGGTTACTCTATGCTTAGGTGGGTTTTGTAGCTTGTGCTGAGTTCAAGGCTGCTCATGAGGTGGTATCTCAACATGTAGATGTGCAAACTACAGGCAGCTGTGTTGAGGAAGAACTTATGGTACAGTATTCATAGTTGCTTCTTCCTGTCTCCTGCCAGAGATTCTTGTCACCTCCTGCCTTTGACTGTGATGTTCCCAGGAGCTCTACCAACTCTCCCTGATCAGAATTAGCTGATGGGCTTAAATAGCAAGTCTTTTATATCCTCACTAGCATTGGCTGAAGCATGTAAGGGCTTGGCCATGGAGCACATCTGAAATCCTCCAGCGGTGGCTCTCAAAGTCATCTCTGCTGCCAACACAGCACAGCTGGAGGGAGGGTACCCACTGGACATGTTCAAGGTCCTCCAGAAGATCTGTGCCAGAGAGAGAGCTGAAACTTGACACTACATGGTCTCAAGCTAAGCCCAAAAGACGCTTCTCAACTAACTACTGTTACATCAAGTGTCCTAAGGATGCCATCATTGTCCCATTTTAATTACTGAGATTTTCTGTGTTGGTTTCAATGTGACTTCAGTACCCTGTAGCTTTTTATAGGGTTTGCCATCTGTCTCACCAGCATCCTATAGAGAGTTGCATTTTGTAGGGATGCAGCTATTTATGTTGCTTTAGTGCAAAAGAATTGGGAGATTGGAAATAGCTGGAAATAATCTTAGTTCCAATTTCCAAAACATGGGAAAGAAACTAAAACCCTGTTAAAAATTGGAGTTTGGCGACTGATGCTAACACTTAAGCTTGTCTGTTAGGAAAATGAACTGAGTGTCCTATATAATGCCCAGCTTAATGCATTATCAGCATGAGCAGACCTCTAGAAGTGCTATACAAATACATGCAAACGTCCACTTAGGTCAGTGCAAGCCTGTAAACAGATGGTCTGAAGTGCATTCCTGTTACACAAGGGGTTTGAGAGGAGGTTTAGTCAGGCAATAGGTGAGAGCAAGGACTATAACCATGTTTGACAGGCAGCTTTGTAAGAAGTCCTAGCCAGAGAAAGGCGTGGATATGCTTTAGCAAGATGCACTTTTAATGTTTGGCAAATTAATTTCTACTGATTACTATTTATTTGGTGTAATCAGAAGGGTGTCTGTTTTTGCCTGAGGCCAGTAAGGAGTTTAAAACCATTATTAGCCTCAGCTTAACAACACTTTGATCCTATACATAAATATTACCCTGTTTTCATGGATAAAAAGCTCTCAGTGCTGGCTGAACACTGCTCCTACTTATTGCATTATGCCAGAAGTGAGGCTTTTTGGAAACTGCATCCCAAATGATTTATCAGAGCTCTCCCGAGATTTACAGATCTCATGACTGCTTAGGAACCCTATTGGGCAAGTTGGTAATCATCTTGAGAGGTTTTGCAGCTTGAATTTCCTTGGCAAAGCAAGGATGATTGCTTATTATCTTCACAATTAATTATTGGCTCTTCCTACCTTTGTGCTTCCATTGCATCTATTGTTCTTGCCAGTGGAACGGTCAGTGTGCAGCTCCTCAAGCTGTCTGCAGGAGAAGGTGCTGAGTGTTTGATAAGCTGTCAGCACTGCAGAATGTTCTGCACTGCCTCAGATCTTAAAAGGTTGATATTTGTTCCAAATGCAAATCTGTAAAAAGCAGGCCTTATTCTCCTGAGTACAACTCTCCGTATCTCCTCACAGGCACATGCTCAGATGGTGCTTAGGGAAGGGGAGGATGTTTCTTCTGGAGCATGCTAATTATGAAACAGATTTTATCTGCCATCTTTGCAAATTGCCCTTAAAATTACCAGAACCCCAAAGTAGCATTAAAACTGCCTTGTAAGAGCCATAATGAATGAGCTTCAGTGCAGCAGGAAACATTCCGAGGCATGCTGAGAGCTTGGGACTTTGTGGAATCCGGTCTTAGTAGTGGGTTTTTACCTCTATATCATATCCCAAAACTAAAGCTGATGAGCAGAGCCTTGGTGGCATTTCAGTGTAAGAGTCAGATCACAATAATCTTAGGTCCTTGCCATCCTCCAGTTTATGCAAGTCCTGACAGCAATGGAAAAAGGACCATGCATCTTTTTTAAATAATCAGGAACTGCCCTGGAGGAGCTGCTTTAATGCTGTAGAGTCGAAGTCTTCTTTTAGGCTCATTTTTCCCTGATTACCTTCCCTATAAATAAACAACAGTTATTTATGTTGTATCAAATACCGCCCTATTTTTACAGCCAAAGATAAATGGCATTTCCACAAGTTCTCATTGTTGCTTGTATCCGTGTGCCTCCATGCACCAGTAATCCGAGTGCTGTGGTGTGGATTTTAAGGCAGGGGGAGTGGTGCCTTTGAGTGAGGGTTCACAGACTCCTTCAAACACCCAGGAAGGATATACCAAAGGGTCTCTGTCAGTCCTTTTGTGGGCCAAGGGTTTGCAGGTGGATGTGTGCTGCTCTGCGCTGGCTGTGGTTTGGAGACCAGGTCAGCCTCCTTTGACTTCCTTTAAGTTTCTTTGTAGATAGCATCTGCCTAGCTTGAGTGAAGGGTCTCTCTCAGGCTGGTTTCTCTGGACCACAGCCTTTGCCTTTTCTGAACAGTGGCTACAACAGGGACACCTGAACTATCTTCAGGCTTTGATAGTGGCTCGACTGGGGTTAGCATGTGTTTTCTTTGCCTTTGGTGCTGAAAGAGGCCAGTTTGCGTTGTCCTGAAGGTTACTGTCTGACCCAGAAAGGGTAGAAAAGTGTTTTAGAGAGTAGAGTTTAGACATAAACATCATAAAATGGTTTGTGTTGGAAGGGACCTTAAAGCTCCTCCGGCTCCAAACCTGTGCCATGGGCAGGGACACCTTCCACTAGAGCAGCTTGCTTCAAGCCCCTGTGTCCAACCTGGCCTTGAGCACTGCCAGGGATGGGGCAGCCACAGCTTCTCTGGGCACCCTGTGCCAGCGCCTCAGCACCCTCACAGGGAAGAGCTTCTGCCTAAGAGCTCAGCTCAGTCTCCCCTCTGGCAGGTTCAAGCCATTCCCCCATGTCCTGTCCCTATAGACCCTTGTAAAAACCAGAACTTACCTCTTTGGCATGTGGCCTTTGATGGAAGAGTGATCTCTCCTTGGCTTTCCTGGTTGACTTATTTCAGACCACCTCATTCTGCTGGTTTCATTACAGGAAGGGAATGTCATCAGTAAACCATGGCATTTCCGAACCTCTATTTAAAGAACAGAGGTTTGCCAAAGCTGCTTGGTCAGCCTCTCTGCCCATCCTCTGTGCTGCCTGCCCCTGAACCTGGAGTCAGAGATGAGCCAGGACAATCCCATGGACTTCCTCCTCAGCTGCTGTGGCTCTTCCACCTCCAGCTTCTGTGGGATGTTCAAACCAGGCCATGCATGGTTTGAATTTAAGTCTATTTTAGTATCAAAATGCCAACTGAGAGCTGTAATTTACTGCTCTCTTCCTAGAACAGTAGATAGCGTTTGCTACCAACTACTTCCTCTCCATCAGGATAAAATGCTTTTTAAGTAGGGATAGGATGGATATTTTTTGGTGTTTCCAAGATGCTGTTTTAAGCCTTTTTTAGTTTCCAGCATCTTTTTAGAAGAGGAGGAAAATCTCATATTCATTTGCTTGCTTGGTTTTGGGTTGTGGAGGTGTTTGGAACTTGAATTCCAGAGTAAGTTGACTAAGTTTTGGTACTTTCTAGTGCCAAACCATATCAGTGCTTTCAATCATCAATAACTTTTTTAACTGGGCACACTGAAATCTTGCCGCAAATTGTATTGATACTTGCAAACCTGTATGTCTGCTTAATACACAGACATGCAGAATTATGGCTAATATATGTGTGTGTATTCATGTGTATAAATACATATATACACACATACATATGATGCAGGTGTCATTCAGATTTCTTTCTCTAACTGGCACTAATTCACTACCACTCCCTGCAAATGGTAAGTTTTTAATAAATTTACCATTTCCTTTATTATTTTGCTCAGAGAATGGATAGAATCTAGAACCAGGCTTTCTTCTCCAGATTTGTCAGCATAAACTGTATAGAAATTAAACTATTTTAAGATTAAAATACCGTTTCACAGAATACACAACCCTGAACTCTTGAATTAGGTAGAATTTCCCTTTATCTTTCCCAAACAGCTCTTGCAGAATACTTCTCCACTGCATCTCTGTGAGCTGGGGCCAGGTGGGAAGAACAGCAACTCACTTTTGATTTTACTTTGCTTTCATTTTCTTCTGTCTAATCTGTCCAGGTTACACCCATTACCCTGCATCTTTGGGGAATGGTAGTGAATTGTGTGGCTCTTCTGCTGTTTCACAGCATGACCTTCAGTACTTTTCTGTGTCTCTAATCAAGTCTAGACCTTATTTTCCTCTCGGGATTTTTGTGAGCCTTCAGATCTGTTTTGAGCTCCTGGATGCCAAAGGAGGACAGTGTCTAACATCCGTAGCCAGGTGATTGCTCTGGTTCTGATCATCTTTTCCTCGCCTGTTGCACAACAGGAGTTTAACAGGGTACCCATTTAATATGTGGCATCAAAGTGCATTAGCAGTGTGTGTTTGCAGCTTTGTCAAACCAGTAATGAAAGAACTGGCAGGTCATTCTGCAAGCACATGGTAAAACCCTAAGGAAAAGCATTTAATCTAATTTTGCCCATCACTGGTAATTGCCTCTGCTTGGAATGACATGATCATTGTGAACAGGCATCAGTTCTCTTCTAGTCTGGATTTTCTCAACACTGTTTCTTTTCTATCCTTTTCTTCATGGTTTTTTTCATCCCCTTCCCTAAAAGAAAATGTTGAAGCATTGAAACAATGCTTCAGCTCCTGTGCCCCAAGATACGCTGCCATTGAGCAGTGAGTTCTCCCTACCCCGGTCAGCCAAGGTAAATGAATCTGTATGTATCACTAGCTGGGGATATGCCAGTCCTGAAATGTCACATTTGATTAATAAATGACTTCAGGAAAGGATGGCAAGAACAAGCTGAAGTCTGGCAAGGCTAAAGAAAGACAAGAGGAAGCCCACCAGAGAGAAAGTGGACACATAAAAGGGATCATGATCTACAAATAGCTAAATCAGAGTAATTTCTGGCAGGGTAGATGGCTCTTCAGAGCAACAGGAAAAGGCACAACGAGATTCAGTGCTTTCAAGTGGCAACAAAGTTCACTTGGATTCAGAGGCCTGTTGAATTCCTCATTACTTACTGCCTTTAAATCAAGACAGGCTCAGTGTGTAAACCAGGATATGAGGACTTGACACAGATATCCATAGCCAGCTTCTTTCCCAAGTTTTATGCAGGAGACAATTACTTTTTTCTGCTCTTAAATGTGTGTTATAAAATCAAGGGCATTCCATAGGACGAGGGGTTGCTGTTTCTTTTCCTTTATAAATCTCTCATCCCCTTCCATGGTTAGGGCTCTGTTTTCTGTGAGCTGTGGTCCATTAATAGGGAACAAACTTGTGTTTTGCACTGATCCTGTGTAGTCAGACTGATTCTGACCTGGCCAGGGGTATCATGTCCCACTGGAGTGGAGACCAAATTACAGTATCTTGGCTGTGGAAATATTCCTAATGTGTCTGTCACATTTCCCAAGTGGAACAGCAGAGTTTTGAGAATCAAGTGGCTCAAGATGGAATGGGAGGGGAGGATGTGAATTTTGTAATGATGTGAATTGAGTATGCTCTAAGAAACAAAATGATCTCTTTATTATGGAAAACCCCACAAAATCCCAGGTTACAGCAAAGCCCTCTTTCGGAAGGCTGGTGATGCGGAGCAAGTTACATGCTGCAGGCAGTCTCAGACTTCACTCTCCCCATCAGCCAAGCAAAACTGAGTCTGCAAAGCAGCAGCAAAGTCTCTTGTGATCAAAGCTGTTGGTCAGACTCATGCGTTCAGTGCTGCTGAATGCAGACCAGGCAGAGCTTCCTTCCCTCAGCACCAGCCAGCAGGAGTGGTAGGAAGCTAGGCAGTGTAGCTCAGCTCCCCATTGCTTGAGCCACACATAGATTGGACAGTGGCTGCGCCTGCCAGCAGTGTCAGGGGGAGCTGGTTTACTTTGTCCTGACCTGGGTATAAACCTGAGCAACACAAGGCAGTTGGACAGGTTCTTACTTCGGTTTCCTTATGTACTTGTTTTTCTTTCCCCTTTGCAGTATGTGGTCATTCCAACACGCCGTGCAACCGCAGTGGCCTTGCAGAGTTTCACTTCACACCTCCTGGGAGATGCTGGCAGTCCTTATCTGATTGGATTTGTAAGTGCTCACAGCAGGTTTTGGCAGGGTTGTTTGCCCATGTTTAGTTTTGTTTATTAACTGCTTATCTAAAATGCCAAGCTAAACCATGCAGGGGAACGCAGGCCTGTGTTTACCAGCACAATGGGAAGCGGTGCAGTGAAGTGCAACTTGTATCCATGCTTGTGTTGTTGATGGGCTGCAATTTAAACCTGGAAGGACCACACAGGCACAAGAAGTGGGCTTCTAAATCTTTTTAGCCTAGGGCATTTGTGAAGCTTATAGACGGCTCTGTAAAAGGAGAGTGGTTGCTTCTGTGGTGTGGACACAGATCCATTAGAAATGAGATTGGAACACTCTTATGTGTGTGTTTAACACTTAATCTGGTCTCATAAACCAAATATCTATTTATGGGTAGCAACATGCAGCTGTTCTGACCTGCTGATATTTTGAACCTGTTTTGGATGATAAGAAATGATGGCAGGATGGGTGTGTATGTTTGGGGTTATTAGTATCCCTTTCTGGCATGTATGCTTTGGGTTTTTATTAGTCGTATTCCTTTCTATAACTGGTGCAGTTGTTGGCCTTGGTTTTAGTGGAGATCTGTCTTTTGGTGCCACCATTATCCCAGTGCAGAGCAAAACAAAAGACCCTGCGCCAAAAGCTGGCAATCAGAGAACATTCAGAGTTGGAAATATAAGGCTTGGAAAATGTAATGAGGAAAAGAAGTCTAAATGTACCAGGATAATTTCTTTCTCTTGCACCCTTCTGTGGAGTTCAGTGCATTGAGTTTCAGAGAACACAGATCATCCTTTATAAAATATAGTAGCTTACATGTAAACCCAAAGTGGCACTGCTCGCGTTGTGCTGGAGGAGCTACAGTTTTCCAGTGGTGTATCTGTATTCACTAGTCCCATCACCTGAGAGGCAGAACTTTGATGTGCTCTTCCAGCTCAGTACTGCTGAGACACAGCTGCTGGGGGCTCTGGACCTATTTTCAAACACCACCCCCCCCCATCATTTCTTGTCTATTCATTGCATAGATGATGATGTATCTACTCATAATTGTTTATATATATTTAATTTTATATATTTTATATACATATTTAAATGTACATATTAATTCTTGAATGGCAGCTCCTGGAAGTGATACAGTTGCTCTGTAGCCCTCTTAAGTGTACCTAAGGAGACAGATACAGATAAGGCGAAATGGACCAAAGAAATGAGAACTGTTTTAAGAGAATCAGTATGTACAGTTCGGTTTACTCTTTGCTTACCTCAATGTTCTGGGTACACAGGAAGAAATGATCTTGGTTTAGAAATGATTTGAAAGTGGCAAGAACAAAAGAACCAGTGGAAGCGATGCTTTGTGCAGGGCAGGAAACATGGGGAATGAAATGAGCAGGGCAGCATGCTCGGAAGGTGGGTGCCAGTGATGAGAGGCAGGTCTGATGTGCCTCAGATGACCCCACTGCATTTCATTCTTTGTCATCCCTCATAAGAAGGCTATCTGGGAGGAATGGTGAGGACCCTGAATGGTTGCAGTTAATCTTGAAAGTTGCCCAGGGATCTGTAGTGTCACAGATTAAAAACTTTGGTTGTAGGAAACGATGTGCCTTGCGCTTCTGGTATTCAGAGATCAAACAAGTTGTGAGTTACTTAAGGATGCCTGCCTGAAATATGCTTAACCTCAATTTAATGCCTGCCTTAGGCTTTCTTTAGACTGGGGAAAATATTAATTATGATTTTGAATTACTCTAATGCTGTACATGTTGGGCAGTTCTCATGTGGGAGGAGGCTACTCAAGTACAGTCTCTGTGGCAGGAGAGCAGGAGCGAAGTGCTCATGTCACAGAAAGCACCAGCATCCATCTCTGTAGCCTCTAGGCTGGCTGGGCTGACTCATGCTCCCAGTGCTACAGTGATTGAAAGATCAGCTGCTTTCGCAGAACACAGAGAAACAAATACTATTCAGAGAGAAAAGACAAACAGCCAGCTTCTCCACCAGAGCTAAGACAAGCAATCACCTTGGTTGTTAAAACCTGCTGGTGTTTGTCATTGGAACTGTCTGGCTGTTGTGGGATGGAGACCTTTATACAGCACTGACAGCCCACTTGGGCAGGCTACAGAAGCAGCCTGAGTTATGACTAGGATTTTTAAGGCAGTCGGTGGGAGCTCCTGCTCCTGTTGGCTTTAAGGGAAATTTGGGAACACAGTTCTCATAGTCCTGGGAATCCCCATCAACTCACACTGCTGTTATTCCAGAGCCACCATGAAGCAGATCGAGAGCAAGAGTGTAGGTCTTGAAAGAGAAAGGCAGAAGGCAGGGTAAATCAGATGAGCTGCAGTAACAGGCATGCTCTGAAGCAGTGAAACCCAGCTCCTGGTGCCTCAGGGTTCACCTGAGATCCTGAGGATCCACCAGTTCTTCTGACTGCTTACAAAATCCACCTGAAGCTCCCTCCCTAACTGAGCAGTGCTTTGATCAAATATGGCTGGAATCTTACCTAGTTTGGGTGAGTTCATAGTGAGATTCCCTCTAGTAGTGCTCTTAATAAGGAATCAGACGCCCGTGTCCTTGTAGGACTAAGCTGTCGCAGGCAGCTGGATACCAATAAATGCTGTATTGATCTTATAATCCTCGTGTAGAAGGTACATAACAGCTGCAGCCTCATGTGTGTGACTGCTCCCTCGCTCCCTGGTGTGCCACAGAGCTGAAGGTCAGATTCAGATTTTTCTTTAATCCCCCTAGTTCCAAATCTTGCAGGTCAGCTCCTTGCAATCACCCAAAGCACCAAATACGTTAGTTTTCAAAAGCTAAGTGGGAAGAAGCATGTACGTATGGTTATCTTTCATGTCTCTTTAAATATCGATAACTTTTATTATGGTAAAAAGGCTTAAGATTGACTTACAGAGAAGTTCTACAATTGCAGTTTTAGGGTGGCAGCTATTATTTGCATAAGGTTTTACTACTTGCCAAGCACTGGGATCAATTACTGTAAGTCAGTGGTGCCTATTCATTCACAAATAAGAGGAGGCATTGCTAGAGTACTTCATTAGATGAGACAGTTCTATTTCTAGATAACTGTATGTTTTTCAGGACCTTTGTGATAACCTGCAGAGTTTAAATAATTCCCATTTAATGACTCGGACTGTGATTTCATGCTTTATCCTTGAGGTAGTCAGTGAGAAATTTCACCGGTTCAGTGCATTACACCCAAGTATCTTTAGTACTTTTCTGTCTTTGAAAGGTCCCACTATGCAGACATGGTTGCTGAAGCACAGAACAGTTAAGAGAAATACCCCAAATCCTACCACTCCCATTGAGTATCAGATAAAAGTCTTCTAACTGCTCTTCCTGTGCCTCAATACCTAGGCAACATTTCAGGCTTAGAAGAGCTGGGTGGAGGCAACTAGCCACAGAGTGTGAAGTGCAGTTAACCCTTCTCAGGCTGTATCATAGCTTCAGTTCTTTGTATTATTAATTAATTAATTAAGTAAGTAGTTGTGAGACATGGCAGTGAGCCTGCACCTGTGTTCCTCTGTGCACATGTACGTCTTCCCTACTCAGGGTTTATGTTATTCCTTTGCACAAGCAGCAGTCTCCTTCCACTCACTGATGTACTCTTGCTTCAGGAAAAGCCAGAGCAGGCAGTGATTTATTTCTTTTGAGGCTGTGCCTTGGCACTCCTCCTTTCCTTTCTTTCCTTCCTCCGAGTCTGTAATTTGTTTCCCATCTGAGCACAGCAGTGCTCTCCTCTTCCATCCTTGCCTTGCTGTAATGAGAAACGGGCACCGAATGCAGCCTTTGTTCTCTCTACACGTGCCAGGGGAATTGCTGTTATGGGCACACACTGCCCTTGATGCTCTGGTGCTGTCATCTCTCCTGTTAGCTCCCTGCTTTATTAAATTCTTCCTCATCTTCCCTGTGTAACCATCCATGAGGTCTAGGGATTGAAACCTGTCTGTACCTGCTTGTCACCTGGCAGCATCAGTGTCTGAGGATAGTGTTTTAAAGTGCCAGAGATCAGCTCTCCTCCACCAGCACTAAAAGCTACTCCCTGTCCTCCACTGCTGGTGGTTCCCACCTGGCCTGACCTCCTTGGCTACTGCTGCTTCAGCTTTGCCTGAGGGACATGACCTCCAGTTGCTCCTGCCAGGCAGCTTCAGGACAGTGTGTCATGGGGGGACCCAAATCACACTTCTGGGTGCTGAGGGTCGTGCAAATAGCAGCATCACCTAAACTGAGGGGCCTCCTCTTGGCAGACCCCAGGACTGAATGCTGTGTTGGGTTGCGGTGCCAGGAATGGTGGCTTACCACAGCAGAGCTCACCAGTGTCTCAAGAGGCATCTCCTTTTTGAGCAGCCTCCTTTAGAAAAAGAGGTCTGGGCATGAGGGACCTTGTAATTACCTGTAAGCAAATTCGAGCTGTGCTGATTTGAAAGGTTTTGTGCTGCTCCTGGTATGACCTGGAAAACAATGTGAGAATAAGCTTACCACTTTTTACCCTTCCTTTTTTTCCCTTCCCCAACTTTCTTATGTGAGTAGGTTCATAAACTAGATCTAATGAGCTACTTCAACAGTGAGGATGCTAATGACCTTAGCAAGCAGTTACCAGAACACTGTTAATTATCACTGGTGCAGAGTATCAAGCAAGGCAGATCAACGTTTATTAGGGGTAACTCAAAACTGGATTAACTGTGGCAATTAAGATACTTCTAGAATAAAAGTTATAACTGAAGGTGTAGATTTCACACCTCCTTGTCCCAGTTAGAGACAGCCTTTTTGTGGATTTGGTTTCAAAGGTGTTTACCCATCCAAGTAAATACATATGTATAGAAAGAAGTCCTATATGTAAAGACTTGCCTGCCTGAGGAAGTGCAATTAATGTATTATGGTTTAAAATTTGTTTTGTATGGTTCAAAATGTTATGGCTACTTTAGTGTACATCTGTGCTTTCTGTGGAATAATAGTTTTTCCAGTTTAGTTTGCTGGATTAAAACAGGCCACAGCCTGTTGGG